ATAATATTGCTGAACCGGCCTTTGGGCCGGTTGGACCGGTTCACCCTGAACCGGCACATCAATACCGCCCTCCCAAAGAATCACCTTGTCCTCAAGGTGAAAATCTAGAAACTGCTGTCTCGTCCTCTCATATGGCTCCCACGTGGTCTCGTAGTCAGGAAGGTTCTTCCACTGGATCAACACTTAGTTTCATCTTCTTTCTGACGAACTCCCATCAGCTCTAAGGGTTCTAGAATCACCTCTAAATCATTCGTAAGTGTCGCCGATAGCTCGGGGTTGGCTGTGTAGTCACCAATGGCCTTCCTTAACTGCGAAACGTAAAAAACCAGATGTATAGTCGCCGATGGAGGTAATTTCAGTCGATATGCTACTGCGCCAATCTTCTCCAGCACTTCATAAGGCCCAAAGTACCTTGGAGCCAGCTTTTCATTCCTCCTGTTGGGGATTGTCTTCTGTCTATATGGTCGGAGCTTCAAGAACACCTTCTCCCCCACTTCAAACTGGATGTCCTTCTTATGCTCATCCGCTTGTTGCTTCATAATTTGTTGAGCTCTTAGAAGATGCCTCTTCAACTCTAGCATTTGGTCCCTCTCCTCCAAATACTTCTCTACTGAAGAAACGGGAGTACTGCTACTCCCAAAGTGCACCAAGTGTGGGGGATATCCCGTCCATACAACACCTTGAATGGGGTCATCTATGAAGCCGAATGAAAAGAGGTGTTGTACTAGTACTCATCCCATGATAGCCACTTAGCTCATAGCTTGGGTGTCTCCGACACAAAGCATCTTAGGTACGCCTCCAAGCTCCTATTGACTACTTTCGTCTGGCCATCCGTTTGTGGGTGGTAAGCTGTGCTCCTCTTGAGGACTGTCCCTTGTAATCTGAACAACTCTCGCCAAAAATGGCTGAGGAACACCATATCCCTATATGATACGATCGCCTCTGGTACTCCGTGCAATCTGACCACCTCCCTGATGAAAGCTGACGCTACTGTCACTGTGGTGTAGGGGTGTCGGAGGGGAATGAAATGTGCATACTTGCTTAGCCTATCCACCACCACTAAGATCATTGTGTACCCCTCTGAGCGGGGCAACCCATCTATGAAGTCCATAGATATCTCCTCCCATACTCTTCCCGGTAGAGCTAACGACTGTAGTAATCCTCCTGGTGACATGGCCAGGTACTTATTCCTTTGGTAGATCTCACATCTGGCTACCATCTACTCTACATTTTTATGCATCCCCTTCCAGCACAGCTCTGCTGCTAGCCGCCTGTATGTCTTCTGTACGCCTGAATGGCCCCCCACAGCTCTTCCATGAAACTTATGGAGTAAGTTTGGGATGTGGATCGAGGTCCGGGCCATCACAATTCTCCCCTGATATAGCAGTTTGTCTCCCTCCACTGAGTACCCTAGGTGGCTATCATCTTCTTTCAGTAAATCCGCCATGATCTTTTCCAAACCTTCATCTCTAGCACTTTCTTCTATGATGACCTCCCAGTCCAACATCAAAGGAACATATAGTGCCACTGTTTGCAGTTCCCCCATACATCTAGACAAGGCATCTGTCATCTTGTTCTCCACCCCTAGCCTATACTGGATCTCAAAATCGTACCCCAGTAACTTGGACAACCACCATTGATGCTCTTCTGTCACCATCTGCTGTTCTAGCAGGTATTTCAAGCTTCGTTGATATGTCCTGACAATGAAATGCCTTCCAAGTAGGTAGGGTCGCCACTTATGGATGGCCAAAATGATGGCCATCAATTATCTCTTGTAAACTGACTTCAGCCTGGCTCTAGCAGTCAATACCTGGCTGAAATAGGCGATGGGTCTACGACTCTGCATAAGCACTTCACCCAGCCCATACCCGGATGCATCTGTCTCCATAATGAAGGTCTGAGTGAAATCTGACATAGCTAGGATCAGCCCCGTAATCATTGCCTTCTTCAGGCTCTCAAATGCTGAAGTGGCCACCTCCCCTCATACCTTTTTCATCTGCTCCGTGAGTGGCCATGTTATAGTACTGAAACCCTTTGCAAACCTTATGTAGTAACCTGTTAGTCCTAGAAATCCCCTCGGCTCCTTTAGGTTTTTCGGCACTGGCCACTTGAGCATTTCCTCAATTTTGGACTGATCTGCTGCCACCCCTTCTTTTGACACAATATGGCCCAAGTACTCAACACTGACTTGTGCGAAGCAGAATTTCTTCAAGTTTGCCCTCAGCTGGTGCTCCTGCAGTATTTCTAACACCCTTTTCAAATGCTCCTAGTGCTCCTTCATCCTACTGTAGACTAGGATGTCGTCAAAGAAGATCAATACAAACCGTATGAGATAAGGTTTGAAAACCTTATTCATACGGACCTGGAAAGTAGCAGGAGCATTGGTGAGGCCAAAAGGCATAACCAAGAACTTATAATGTCCCTCATGAGTTCTAAAGGCCGTCTTGGGCATATCCTCTTTCATCCGAATCTGATGTTAACCTAATTTCAAGTCTATCTTGCTGAAAATTCTTGTTCTCCGTATCCACCTTGGCGACCATAGTATCCCTCCTGACGTTCTCCGTATCCACCTCCCCTTTCTTCCCTCTGGATAGGCTCCAGATGGGGTCTTCTTCCTTCTCCTTCCATGATTTCCACCTCATCTTCCTCCCTACGAATTTTTTCCTTCTACTCTTTTCGTCACAGAAGCTGCCGTTTTATTTTGAATTTCTAATATCTTTTTCATCATGTCCCGTAGATCGGCAACTTGTCCTTCCATGGAGGAAATCTTTTCCTCCTCCGTCGTTTTGATTTGATTCATCTCTCCTTCAAACATTTCCTCCAGAGCATCCACTTTTTTGGCCGCCATCACAATCCGGAGTTTGTAAAATCACAAAATCTGGATTTGGAACTCCAAAAACAGCAATCTCCCTTCCTTCTGGGCAAAAAATCACCGCTGAAATTAACCGAAAACAGCCCTCCACTGGTCCCACGACTTGCTGATACCAATTTGATTGTAAATACTTGAGTTTGCAAGTAACCCTAAGGGAATACTTGAGTTCACAAGCAAACCTATCACTAATTGGAGAAAAACAGCGAGAATAAAGCAAAGTCTGGGCGAAATCAGCCCCAAACGATGGATTGCAATAAGAGAAACAAAGCAAAACCAACACGAAAGCAAGATACAAGTGATCCTCAATTCCAGAGGAGGATCGTCTCTCCCAAATCTCTAGACAAGAGTGTCTAGAGCCCGAACGCCAAGAAATCATAATTTTCAATCGATCAAAACATGAAAAACTCCCTAATCCCCCTCATCCTCTTGAATACAAAATATTTCCTAATCAATTTTCCCTCCTAAGCTTAAACCGCACCCTCTGTTTGATTTTCAAAACTCAAGGAGTGGGGCCCACCCTATGGGCGGGCCAAGCCAAGGGAGGCGGATGGATTCCGCCTCCTGTAATATTGCTGAACCGGCCCAAGGGCCGGTTCAGCCTGAACCGGCACATCAGAATAGGAGGTAATAATTTCTATTCTTGATGAGAGAATGCAAACACTTAAAGTAGAAACTAAAATGATAATTCTTACATATGATGAGACAAATGATACTGAGAGGCGGAATGCATGGACTGACCAATTGGAAACTTCACCTTATATAGCGACAATGACAATATTGCATTTGCCTGATTGAAGTTAAGCCATCATGGCTTGGCATTGTAGAAAGCCCATCTAATGGAATGTTTAAATAACCGATATGCTTAGAAATATGTTCTATGGGGTTATATAGAAGGTTAATGGAAGAAGTTTCACAGTTTGAGGCAATGCTAGGGGCAATTCAAAGTTTAGATGTTAGTTGGTAACTTTGGAAATAAATTTTGGGAAGGTATTAGTACTGATGAATTACAATTAGGATTTTATCTTCAAATTGCAAATAAACTTTGCTTGTTTCTAATAAACAATCTCTATTAGGCCAATATGTTGGTGATGCTCATAGTGGACAAGATCCAAGTCATTAGGGATGAAGCTTCAGAACCAAGGCATAAGGGGGAATACTTCAAAACCATCTAAAGATGGGTCTTCGTTCTATAAAAGAAGGAAAAGAAGATTGATGATGGTCATTCCTCTCACAAGGCGAACACCTTCACTTACCAAAGAAAAATGCAAGAAGCTGCACCTTGAACTGCCCTAAAAAATGGACGAAATATGGGAAATGGAAAAATAATTGTTGTTATGATGGAGACGCCATGCGAATTCTACTGAATAGTGCAAACTTATCTCTTTCTCCGATGGAAATACCTTAGAACATATTGGCCTCCAATATAGACATGTTAAAGGAGCTGTTCATCTTGAGAATACGTTAAGCAAGAGGTGGTCAGATCCATCATTGGAATTGAAAATTAGATGAATATCATTTCTGTTAATTTAAGAAAAAAAAAAGTTTTGACATCATACTCCATGCCAACACTTATTCCTTTGGGTTGGATTTAGATGGGGCCGGAGATGATTGAAAGTAAATTTTACAATCACTAAGGACTACCTGGATGAGATGGCATGTAAGATTGAATTCATAGGTTGCTTTTTGTTACCCTCAAAACCCAGTTTATTTTATTGTGCATGCTAACCGGAAGAATATGGAGAGTACTTAATTGTACAGCTTTATGGCTTATTGAGCTTTTCCCTAATGTGATTTGCTATTGCTGATGTTCTTATGCGCCCAACATATTTATTGAACAAGTTTGTGTTGGATTATGACATTCTGAATAACATTCGGGGATTGATAGTGGGGAAAATTATTGGGAATTAATGTTTTTAGGGGTCTTGGTGTGAATTTTTTGTTTTCATTGTGTATCGAGGATCTGATATGTATTTAATCTAAATATAGTCTTTTATCTTATTAAAATATTAAAATTTATTTTGAATATGTAATAAATGAATATTTCCTCCACATTACTTGGAATACATTTATTGGAACCTCTACTAACAGATTCTACTCTTTTTTGCTCCACTTGCATGAATTCTGGCAGGCAGTTCCAAGTTATTCTGCTAGACGAGCAATCTTTGAACAATTTGTTAGGACACGTGCTGAAGAAGAGAGGAAGGAGAAGAAAGCTGCTCAGAAGGCTGCAATTAATGGTTTCAAACAGCTATTGGAAGAAGCCTTGGAGGTTGTTGGTGGCTTCGCTGTTTCACCAATTATGTTTTTTTTTAAGGATGAAGCTTCTGTATAATAGTTTGAGAGGTAATTCTTTTGGTTGAACGGACCATTCAATTGACGCTAATGGGCTTACTGTTACAGGATATGAATCACAGACTAGACTTCCAAACATTCAAAAGAAAATGGGGAGGTGATCCACGGTTTGAAGCCTTGGATCGTAAAGAAAGAGAGTTTCTTTTCAATGAAAAGTATGTTGTTCCAAATGGTTTCCTGATAAGATTTGATAGTTTCTAATGCGTGAAGAAGTTGCTTGGCAGTTTTTTTAATTTTGGAGCTTTTTGTAGGATACTTCTAAGGAAGAAGGCTGATGAAGAAAAGATTAATGCAGAAAGAGCAGCAAGTATGAGTAGCTTCAAGTCAATGCTGAAGGAGTGGCAGGAAATATCTACAAGTAGTCGGTGGTCAAAGGTAGTTTGTTTCATTTGCCTTTATCATAGCATTTTTTTAATTGAATTCCATGCGTCTGTCTTTCAACTATTTTAAGGCAGGGTATTATTGGCCTATCGGAAGGTCTATGAAAAAGAATTAATTGTTATAGTCAACTGGTTATGCATTTGTATTAATGTTCATGTGTTGTGATTTGTTGATAATACATGTTGTATAGTTGCTTATGTTGATTTTATTGTACTTTTGGGTAATTTGCTTGAATGTAATTTATGCATGGGGTGAAAGAGTAAGTTATGAGTTACTCACATTTCACACATATATGACTCAGCATTATATTGCGTGATGTAAGAAGGAACATTGGAAAATTCAAGACTAATCAACTTTAGAAGTGGTCAACCAATGCTATCTTTATTGACTCCCAAATTGGTGGAAAGCGGCATGGAGATTTCTGTACTTAAACTTCAGCATCTAGGGAGGTCAGGATGGTTACAAGCCACCCTCACCATCCAAGAAGTCCAGTCACCCCACCCCACTCTTCTCGAAAAATGGGCTGTCCTACACATCACCAAATAACCCCAATCACCTTCTAAATTCAAGGAACCACTCTGATTCCTGAGGGATTTCGAATTTTTCAGTAGGAAAATTGTAGAAAGTAGGTTTTTTTTTGTTGCAATGAAACTTTAATGATGATTTGAATTAAAATGAAAAAGCGTTTGACACCTTTCTTCCTCATTTTGGCTTGGTGGCCAAAATTTGCAATCTTTGGTAAGATCATTTTTCATTTTTCTTGCTGATTTAAGTTATGCGTTAGATTCTTCTACCTCTCCTCAATTTCATTCCACATGATTCAATCCAGCCATGCTTCATAATTAAAATAAAGAGAAATACTTCCAAGCACTAATCAACCAAACTAAGTTTCTGGACATAGTTTTAGATTTGCTTCTACCACAAGCCTTCATTCCACTTGGAATTTACCATCAACTCTTCAACAGTTTTATACACATTACCAAAGCCTTTCCACCTGTTCTCAAGGCCTGATTTGAGCAACCGTAATTTTAGAAACTCAACAAGTGCTCTCAGCTTTTGCCTTTTCCTAGGCTTGGTTGACCGCTACTTCTCCCCCTCCACTTGCCACAATCAATTCATAGCATCGCTATGGTTTCTGCTATATTCGAGATACCATTTACAACATGCATTACTTTTGGTGGTCTTCCATAAAGGTTCTGTGGGCTTCGAAAATTTGGCCACAGCCTCTGCCCGCTTCGCTTTTTTTTTTTTTTCCTCCACTCGCTTTTTTATTCGGCGAGGGAGTTTTAAGGATTAAGTTTTGGGGTAAATTTTGGAAGGCAGATGAGTTTGTAGATAAGACACTACCCAGAGATTTCGTCCTCATTTTGTGAGGACTTTATGATCTGAGTTCCGGTTTCCTATAGGCGCAAGCCCCTATAGTTAATTATCCCTCCCGGTCACGAGAGAGAACTTTCGATTAAGGCTAGTCGTCAATAAGATACGTAGAGAATACGTGTTATCTGGCATATAGTAGCAACATGGGTTTGGATTTGAAATGTTTGAAAATTTGGGTTGAAATATTTGAGTATTTAAAATTGAAAATTTTCACTATCTTGCACTTAAAGCGAATGGTGGGGGAATGGATGTTGGACCCGATCAAGATCCCATGGTTCCGTCATCCCAGGCCATCATGGTCCCTAAAAGTTAGAGGAGGTAGTCGACTCAACCTGACAGAAAGATCCTTGGACTACTTAGTCAGAGGAGGTAGTCGACCCAACCTGACAGAATGATCCTTGTCGGTAGCCATGGGTTGCTTTGTCCAAGAGTACCTTGTAGACCTGGGGTGAATGTTTGTCTAAGGGGACATATTTGAATCCACCTTAGCTAACAGAGGGTTTTGCACCCTATCAATCATATACTATTGATTCATATCTCAAGGATTTGTTGTTACTAAGGAACATATCCTCTCTAACCATAACCGACATTTCGTGGTGCCATTTGGCAGCAAAATCACTCTATCAGAGGGCCCCGGGTCATAACCGTTTATCATGCGGTGCAATTCGTCGACAAAATTGCCAGTTAAAGGACACGTACCACACCTTTACTGGCAAGAGATTGTTTGAGAATAGATTCTAGTGATATTTTCGACTAAACATTAGCTCAATGTGAGCTGAAGTTATATTCAAATTTGTCCACCTCGACAAACTGCTGTGGATGGTAGATAGATTTTGTTTTAAGTGTTGATGGATTATTTCAATTTTAAATATTTTTAAATTTTGAAAATTTTGGATTCTTTGTAGCTTTGAATTTCGTAGGTATTTGAGTGGCATTTTGAAATTGTTTGTGAACCCCTCCGGTTGAGATAAACAATCAACACGGCCATCATTGGGGTGACCTTGATGTCACTTGAAAACATTTGGATTTTGGTGGAACTTTGAGAATGTTTTGAAATATTTGAAATTAATCCCTCCGGTTGAGGTCTGCATTCAACACGACCATCATCGGTGTGACCTTGAGGTCACTTGAAAAATATTTGAATTTTGTGGATATTTGAGGGCATTTGAAAATATTTTGTAGACCAGTCCGGTTGAGATCTACATTTAACACGGCCATCATCGGGGTGCTTGGGGTCATTTCCATTTTATAATATTTGCATTTTGTTGATGAATCTTGTCGACTTTGTCGAACTGTCGACAGAGGATCAGGTTTCATAGGCTTTATGCATTTATTAATGAATTCTTATTGTTATAGGCCTTGAATACCTAATATAAATGTATTAAGATAAAAAAATTGATCATCGCAATCGTATATTAGTTTGATGATTCGAACCCTGTCGACTCCTATTGATCCAAATAGAAAGATCGGGTTCGAACTTGAATTCACTTATTGACCCGCGCAGCATCCCTAGACGTCATGTGTGTACCAATAACACGTTTGCCGGGGCCCATGCGGGTTTTGTGATTGCCCTTGCCCCTTTTGTGTACCTATGTGTATACAAACTATAGTGCATGTGCCCGGGGGGGATTTTTGGAATTTGATGGGTCTTCTACGACTGCTTGTAGGAGCTTGTATTTGTCATAGTACTTCAATATTTATTTGTAGATGGAACTTGATGCGTGTTAGGTCTCCTACGTCTTTTGCGAGGACCCATAGGCATTTACATTTACTGTATTCCTTGTGCATTTTATTGCAGTCTTTGGTCCTCGTGGTACATTTGATACATGTATGCATGTAGATGTATTCGTTCACATATTAGAATTGACTTCAGGATACTGCATTTACTGAAGTATTTATGTATCTGACCATAGATGGCATATGGTGCGTGCATTTGTATTCGTAGGGAACCTGTATATATTGCAGATCTTCTGTCCTTGCAGAGGGTTTAATGTAACTGTTTACATTGAATTCTTTATTGATCGCAAAGATATCCTTAGCATTTACAACATGATATTTGTTGTCACTCATAGGTGGGTACCTTTATGCATGAAAAACCTTTTATAGTGACTTGTAGGAGCCTGCATTTAATGTATTTCTTTTGTATCTTGCCTGTGATGTGCATGGTGGTCTCCTGTAGCGGGCCGTAGGATCTTATATCCATTATAGTACTGTTGTGTTTCTACCCTTATAGCTTGCAAGGGTTTGTATATTTGACTTCTATTGGATAGTTGTTTTGACTGTAGAAGTGTTATTGAATCTTTGCTATGACATCTCGTAGGTGTTGTACATTATGTTGTAGACATGTTATCTTCAATTGTAATGGATCCTCCTTGCATATTGAATGATGAATGGCTGAGTTTGTTGTCAAATTCTTTATGCAAGTTGCTCAATGAACGGTTGCATTTATTCGCAAGGAATTGTATCACTCGTAGACAATAGGTTGCATGTGCTACGGTTTTTCTACCGATGTCTGCAGGGAATTCGTTGCATCTACTATATATTCGTCACATATTCTTCACATTTCATTCATGAATACATCACGGTGTTTATTACAACTATCACATCCCTTCCACAAGTGTGAGTGTTGTATATTGATGAATATCATTCATAGGTGACTGCAGTTTGTTGATATTTGCATTCCATTTGTCATGATAGCTCTTGGTAGATTTCTTTGGAGATTTTATGTCATTGCTTAAAAAGTCCTTAAGCAAAATGTAGTGGAGACTTTATCCAATACATATTTTTGTAGTCAATGCCATTGTCTCAAACCAATCAATTGCAAGAGTTTCTCTAATCATTTGTTGGGAAATTTGCATAATCATCTGCACTTGTATTTTTTACTTTCTCTTTGGTTTTCATTGATCAATGCTTGCTAGTGGATCATATGTCCTTGAATCTTGTTTATTATTGCAAATTTGTTACACTCCTTGTATGTGATCGTAGGTGAGTTAGTATGCTACAAGGCTTTCATGCCATGGCTTTGTGACCACATCATATCCTTCACAATCTTTTCATTGCTTGCAAACAAGTTCCACTTGCAAACTCCTAACCTTCAAAGAGGATTTGACATATGCATGATGAGTTTTGATATTACATTCCTCAATGTTTTTATTCCAATAGAGATGATTGTTACAAATCCATTGTTGTCCATATGAGTTCAAATGCAGCTCAAGTTCGAGTCCAAATTCCTTGTGTCCAAAGTCTTGTTCAAGTTCCACTTGATGTTGTACAGTTTGAGTTCAATGTCCACAAGTGTACTTCAAGTTTAAGTTCATTTTCAAATTTGAAGTTATGTCCACTTAATGTACAAATCAAATTCAACTTGGATTCAGGTTCATTGGTATTTGGTTCAATTTTGAGTTCAAGTCTTTGTGATTCGTTCAAGTTCAGATTCATTTAGATTTGAATTCGTTTAGGTCAATTGCATCAAGTTCACAAGTATCCTGCGAATGTTCATTCAAGTCCAAGTGTGGTCCCTTGTTCACTCAAAATTTCGGCAGACTCCTGGCGTCTCCCCCGTTTAGGGGAAACTACGAGAAACTGGGCCTTCCCACCACGTAAAATAATAGTGTGTATGATAGGTGTCTTTAGACTCCGCGATTGTGGTCTTCATTCCACCACGCGCAATAAAGACGTGTATAGGGTCTTCAAGGGTACCTGTTTAAAAAGACAATCGGCAGACTCCTGGCGTCTCCCCCGTTTAGGGGAAACTACGAGAAACTGGGCCTTCCCACCACGTAAAATAATAGTGTGTATGATAGGTGTCTTTAGACTCCGCGATTGTGGTCTTCATTCCACCACGCGCAATAAAGACGTGTATAGGGTCTTCAAGGGTACCTGTTTAAAAAGACAATCGGCTTTGTCCCCGCTCGAGGGTACTTATAAGTTACCCCATCTCGCCATAAGCTTCGCATTGAGTTTCCATCCCACCACCGCAATAAAGGCGTGTATAGGTGGTTTTTCTGTGCGTCACGAACGCCGAAATAGGGTTTTAGGTAATCACCCGCCTCGTCATAGGCGTCGCACCGGGGTCCCATCCTACCACGCGCAATAAAGGTGTGTATGGGCAGTTTTCCGGTGCGCCACGAATTTCGAGATGGAATCTGAGTTTAGGGAGTTATACATGCGAATGACGACGACGGTGGTGTTTGTGCGCTTATCGAGGCAAGGAAATATCTTTTTTTTTAATAATAATAAAATTAATACTAATATTAATATTAATATTAAATTATTATCATATTATCATAATATTACTATTATACATCATTAATAATGATAATAATTTTAATATTACTATAAATGATATAATATTAACATTATTATTAACACTAATATCAATTGATACTAATAATTATAAGAATAATAATGATAATATATATATATATATATATATATATGTTTCTCGATTTTTTATCATTAGAGATGTAAAGCCCTAACTCTCAAATGAATTTATGTTATACATTTGTAGTAGGAAACTTAAAATCAAATGGTATGTTTGTATACATACGACTTCATTTGATCCTATGCAAGTGGCATAGTCAACACAACCTATAAATAGACAACCATCATATGCAAATGAAAATAAAATATTCTTGTCCCTAGTCGAGTTGATCTATCTCGCCAACTATTTAGACTATCATCTCAATTACATAGTTGATCACACAATGAAAATAAAGTTCTCGGATCTGCTCCGATAGTAAGATGGATAATAGAGGTCACCTATATTAGAAAAGAAAACTTATAAGTAAAATATAAAATATAAAGAAGATTCATGGCAACCAGTGCATGATTTTATCATCTCGCTTTTGTATTCTTACACGTGAAAATAATTCTCTAATCCCCTATATTAGGTATGATTATTATAAAATCATAATAGAAGAGTTTCCTGATATTGTTTGCGAAACCAATCTTTCCATTAAAAAATCAAGCAAGATACACAAGGCACCACATACCTTGATGATGGATTTGATTATTGTAAATCATTCTTAAAGGGATTTTAGTCACATATCACATCCCTGATTATAATGAAAATTTAATCCGAAGACTCCAATCCATAATGACAAATGAGGTTATCATAAGATCATACTCTTACGGATAATCATCCAAATGAATTTGAGATAATCAAAATTCAAAGCCCTTAATGGTCAATCTTTTCAACCAATCAACTTGATTCTGTAGCAAGACAAAACTCAAATGCTCTTAAAGCCTTACAAAAAGAGCTAAAAAAGTAAAAGAATAGTCAGTTTGCTAACTTAGGATTTAGTTTGATAAAGATGATCGACATTTTGAGTTGCTAACTATCTTAGTCACCAACAAGCTAAAAGAAGGCCATGTGGGATAGTCCCCAACCTAACATGTTGACAATCGAGCCAGTGTTTTGTAACTTCTCTAGTTTGAAAAACGCTACAACAATGTGGACTAAAGATAATGTTCCAATAGTTTTAGAATTTTGTGATTGTAATGAAGATATCAAATAATTGGATCTCATCTCTAATTTTGAATTTGTTTTCTCTGATGATGTGTATGATCATAGCAAATTATCATTGAAATAGTCTATATATGTGTTGAAATGCCCCTAAATCAATTACCAAGTAGTTGAAGATCACTAATGTAATCATTATTGACTGGTGCCTCTATCTCAAAAAATGTATGATAGGAGATAACATTCTAATACAAAACTCCTATCAAACAATGAATATACTCATGCCTCCTGTTTATTAAATCCTATTACTTAAGATAGGGTCACTGGCAAAATGCCCCATTAATTAAAGACAAACACTCAAAACAATGTTTACCTTGATGATGGATTCATTTGTTAGAATATTATAATTAAAGGGGTTATTGATATCATTAAAGCTCTTAACCACAAAGAGACATACTTTGAGCCTTATCCCTAATGATGCGTTTGATTTTTAGAGAAATATAATTGAAGAGGATCATCATTATAAAAAGGCTCCCTTAAAATCTACATTAAATTCTCTTCGAGCTTTCTTGCCAATGATGGTTATTGTCACATATCATCTCGATTGGGGGAATTTTATCTAAAACCATGCCTTCACATCCAAATTAAACCCTCTAAAAAATTAATAAAAACTCAAAAAGTCTAAGAAATAATTGACATCTTCACAGTTAAAGCTACCCAACCTCCGCACTATTTTCCTAAGGGTGACAAATTCAAGTCTACCTAAAGCTAATAAACATCAAAAGCTATGTCTTGTTTGTCCGTATGATCACACTCAAAAATCTCATACCATTAAAAACATGTCAAAATCCTTTTGTGTTGAGTATTTTTGCTTAAAATGTGCTCCTGAACCACATCAATTATATGAAGAGTTAAACCTGAATGTTCCACATTGGTCGTGTCTATGAATTTTGAGCCATAAGATGCAATTTATAAGTTATGAAGACCTATATTAGTCAATATTAGTCTTGAAATTGAACATCAATAAGTGTTTCCATTTTTATAATATAACTTATGGCTATTGGTAAGGATATGATCGGAAACACTTGAGAACCGGAAACACTTGTAGTTCTCAAGTATTTCCTATCAATCTTTGGAAAACAGCGAAAATCTTCACAAAAGTCCGCACAAAAATCACAAAAATTGTAGATAACTTGTATGATTTGATGAAAGGAATACGGAAAATAGCAAGATACACTTGATCCTCAATTCGAGAGGAGGATCGATCTCTCCCAAATCTCTAGACGCCGCTAGAGCCCAAAGAAAACCTAAATCTAAGAGATCTCAAATTTCAGCCAAATTCAAGATATCCAAACCCTAGGAAAACAAACTATTTAATGCATACAAATCAAAAGGAATTCCCTAAACAATCCCTACATTCAAATTTCCCTCCCAAAACCCTAAAAAATCCTTCCAAATGCGAGTTGTTTGCTTCGGCGGCTAACGCGGCATCCGCAGTTGGCGGAACAATGCCGTTGTTTCGCCCGTAAGCCGGTCCCTCCTGGACCGGTCCAGCCGGTCCAGTGGATCGGTCTAACATAGGCAAAAATGAAAAATCACAGATTTTTGGATTTGACGTCCTTTAAACTGATTAGAATTGCCTGGTTTGGATCTTACTGGGTTATAATTAAAACCTTGTGTAAATCTATTATGCCTAGATATCATGACTTAGGGTCTTCAATCTTGGACAATTTTGACTTTGATTCTGTAAAACATGGTTTTACTGATTTGGGCCATAAAACATGAATGCTTGTTAATGTTCGTGATGTTTTTGGAAATTGACCATCCTTTATTAGAAAGCCATCTTTCCTTAGAGCTGTTTTCATAGTAGTGCTTGGCTGCCCTGGATGCAAGATTGGCCTTACAATTACTCTTATTACTTGCATGTGTGGTGCTGAATTTTCCATTTATAACCAAAGAAATTATAAAACAAACAATTCTCGTGTTTGGCTTCTTAGACAATTCATGTTCTTTTTCATTTATTGTTTCTCATTGTCAGTAAATTATGAATGTTCCGTGATGTTTGGTACTTTTGTGTGCACTTTTCTCTTAAAGAGCATGGATTTTTTTCAGGCAATATAAGTATCCGAGTTTAAGGATTGCTACGATTTGCAACTATTCTCCTAGATCTGCTTCTATAGATTGTTTTGAAAGCTTTGTCTGTTCAGCCATCCAATTTTTATGTCATTTGCACTAACTTCTTCCTTTTGACATTTTTATAGGTGAAAGATAATTTGAGAAATGATCCAAGATACAAGACTGTTAATCATGAAGAGAGGGAAGCTTTATTTAATGAATATATTGCTGAACTTAGAGCAGTGGAACACGAGGCAGAGCGTGCTGCAAAGGCTAAAAAGGATGAGCAGGTACTAATTGTGTTAAGTCTTAAAGAGAGGACTAGTTTTGAAAAAATACATGTACCTGATTTTTGTTTATGGGGATGATTGCGCTTTGACACTTGAGGTGTTTTAGTAAATTGTTTTGAGCTGTGCTCTACCGCTTTTGTGTAGGATAAGCTAAAGGAAAGAGAGCGGGAAATGCGGAAAAGAAAAGAAAGAGAGGAGCAAGAAATGGAACGGATTAGGCTGAAAGTTCGAAGGAAGGAGGCTGTCAGTTCCTATCAAGCCTTGTTGGTAGAGACAATTAAAGATCTGAAGGTATTTATTGACGCATGAGCTCATTTCTATATATATTTGATTGGTGCCATTTTTTTTTTCCAATCTAGAGTTTGCACGCACTGGCTTTTCCTTGCCTGCCCTCTTATGATGTTTGAAGCATTTAGGCAAGAATGATATTATCAGGGATGCCATTCTTCTGTGTATATTGGTTAAAGTTTCCACTGCTAGATGTGGGTTTATCTCAAAGAAAATGTTTTTATATGTTTTTTTCATCTATATTTTTTTTCTTAACCAACATACACTTGCGTACAAGCTCCTATTATGTATGCAGATACTGAATGAAGAGGGGTCATTCCCTTTTCAAGAATGAAAATGTGTCATTATTTTCGATTTTACTCTTCCAACTGTGTATTTCATGGACTTGCGTTGGAGAATTTTTTGTTTCATATACAGATAATTCCATCCATAGTAAAATAAACTTTAGAAATTTCTATTTATTACTGTATTGACACTTAGACAATGATTTTATTCTTAGGCTTCCTGGACTGATTCGAAGCCCAAGCTGGAGAAGGATCCTCAGGGTCGTGCTACAAATCCTGATCTTAATCAAGTTGATGCAGAAAAGCTTTTCCGAGATCACATCAAAGACTTATATGAGGTAAATTAATGAGCTTCCAAGTCTTATTCATTTAGATTTCTCCTGCGTGTACAGTTATCTAACAACGCCAGTTTATCCTTCTCTATGCTATTTTACCATATGTTTATTTGGTAGCCATCCAATCTACGAAAAAGTCCCAATTGTACTAATCTTTAGGGGAAAAAAAAAAAATGTGGCATGGGTCTGCAAATGTATCCTGTGTGTTGTATGAATAATGAATCATGGAATATATTTCTTCTATTACAACCTGCAGCTGTCAAGTTTCTTCCTTATAGTTGATTGTCTTGTTCGAGTTAAACGGATATTAAATGACATCACAATCTTCAAGATATGCTACTATGTACTTGTACCATTACGTTATCCACCTTTCGTCCTTTAACTGCCCCAAATTGAGAGCAGTATGCAATTTTTATTTTAGTTTTGTTTTAGGACTTTGATGATAGTAAAAAAGTAATATGGAAATTAGTCATTTCAAATAAAGTGAAATGATGTAAGAATAAGTAATTTTAAAACATACGGTATTTCTAATTAAAAAATGGGTAATCATCTCTGTGGGCTCTGAAAATTCGGCCTCGGCCTCCGCCTTCACTGTTGTTGCTTTTTCTTTTGGCGAGGGAGTTTTAACGGAAAAAGTTTTGGGGTAAATTTTGGAAGGCAGATGGATTTGTAGATAAGACACTACCCAGAGATTTCGCTCTCATTTTGTGAGGACTTTATGATCTGAGTTTTAGTTTCCTATAGGCGCAAGCCCCTATAGTTAATTACCCCTCCCGATAACGAGAGAGAACTTTCGATTACAGAAGGATCCTTGTCGGCAGCCATGGGTTGCTTCGTCCAAGGGGACCTTGTAGACCTGGGGTGAATGTTTGTCTAAGGGGACATTTGAATCCACCTTAGCTAACAGAGGGCTTTGTGCCCTATCGATCATATCCTATTGATTTATATCTCAAGGATTTGATGCCAATATGGAGCGTATTGGCTCTGGCCATAACCGGTATTGTGTGGTGCTATTTGGAGGCAAAACCACTTGGTTCAGAGGGCTCAGGGTCATAACCGTTTATCCTGCGGTGCCATTTGGCGGCAAAACCGCCGGTTAGAGGACACGTACCACATCCTTATTGGCAGGAGATTGTTTGGGAATGAATCCTAGTGATATTTTTGACTAGGCATTTGGCTCTTTGTGAGCTGAAGTAAATTTTAATTTGTCCACCTCAACAAACTGTTGCGGAGGGTGGAATGATTTTGCTTTAAGTGCTTGAATGGATTTTTTCAATTTTTAAATATTTGGATTTCTGGATTTTGGATGATCTTTGGAATTTTGGATTTTCAAGCATTTGAGTGGCATTTTGAAATACTTATGATTAACCCCTCTGGTTGAGATTCACATTCAACACGACTATCATCGGGGTGTTTGGGATCATTCATTTGAAAGTATTTGCATTTTGTGGATGAGCCTTGTCAACTCTATTGAGCTGTCAATGGAGGATCGGGTTTCTCGGGCTTCATGCCTTTATTTGTGAATTTTCTTTGTTAAAAGCCTTGAAGGCTTGATATGAATGTATAAAATAAATATTCCGGTCAATTTCATGACCGCATATTTATCCGATGATTCGAACCCTGTCTACTCCTATTTACCTGTTTAGGAGGATCGGGTTTCATAGGCTTCATTCCTTTATTTAGTGAATTATTTTGATTATAGGCCTCGAAGGCCTAATATGAATTTATAAAAACAAATACACCGGTCGCCACAACCGTGTATTTGTTTGAAGGTTCGAACCCTGTCGACTCCTATTGATTCGCATAGAAGGATCGGTTTTGAACTTGAATTCACTTATTGACCCGCGCAGCTTCCCTAGAAGTCACGTGCATACCAATAACACGCTCGCCAGGGCCCATGCGGGTGTTTGGGGATATTTTGTAGTTATTCGTTGAACCTTGTCGACTCCTATTACTAGGAGGATCGGGTTCGAATTTATTGACCCGCGCAGCATCCCTAGACGTCACGTGTGTACCAATAACACGCTCGCCGGGGCCCATTCGGGTTTTATGATTGTTTTTACCCCTTTTAGTGTACCTATGTGTATACAAACTACGGTGCACGTGTAGGGGTACTTTGAAAGTATTTGTAGACGTCTTCTGCCCGCTTGCATAGAAATTGCCAATCTGGTGGTGGTATCAGGATGTCACGAGGCATCCCATTATCTTGATGTTGGCTCCCCTTTTTTTATTCACCAGTGAAGTCTTTCTAGAATTTGAAATCAGTGACTGCTGCTTTGAAAAGGGACTTCTTTTCAGGATCACCAATATAGTAGACTTGTTATTTTTGGTGTCTATTGATACCAGAGCTATTTTCTTCTTAAGGATAGGACCAAGAAGAAACTTTGGAACACTAGGAAGTTTAGTTCTAATTTGTTCAAACATCCCTTTCTTTCTGCCAGGGAGTCCTTTTTCGTACATCGAGTTGCCCTTGTACCCAACACACTTTGCAACCTTTTAGTCACCGTTGTCGTAGGTGACATCTGTACTTGTGCCCATAGTGGTTCGTTGTGCCTACGATATACACACTGTTGTTATCCACAAGTGGCTCATGTTCATTTGCAGTGACCCATTGTATCCACTACGACCTCCCTGAAGTGTTTGTCGAAGAGCCGTTGTCCCCTTCATCATATCCACCTTTCACCAATCTCAGGTGGGTCGATGTATTTGCACTTGTTTGTAGGGGCGGGTCCTCCACTATCAAGTGGTAGTGTTATTGTCTCAATCTTGTAGGGATTGTCGTAGGAGTCTATTACATCCGCATCATGTCCACCTTTGATGTTCACAATTTATTTACGACAATGGGTTAACTATTGATCTCCAATGTCACATTCTTCAATCAACAGGCATTATTGCTTGTGTTGGAGATTCCAATAGTGCATATAGGACATACATGTGCATTTTGCAACCATCTATTGTCCTTGCAAGTGTGGTGCATTTGATCTCGTTGGAGTTCGTATGTGCTTCAAATGCGTTGCGTTGCGTATATTTGCAAGAAGTTTTGTTGCTTGTAGAATTGAATGCATAGGGGCCTTCCACAGTAGATTGTGGGTACTTGCATTTTATGTGTATTATACATCTTCACTTGCAAGAGGGCGATGCATCTGGCTGCCATTGAAGGGTTGTTGACTGCGGGGGTGAACACAATGGCCCTTGTGATATCATTAAGAGCTTGTATTGTTGCTTATGAGTGAACTAACAATTCATTTCTATTTGGGATTTTAATGAATGTCCTTCATTCATTCATTAATCTCCACTGGCATAATCAAATTTAATGATTGATATTAAAATAATTATACATCCATTAAATTTGATTATCAAATTATGGTTCAAATCCAGGTTAATAAGTTCTCTATTGTACACTTGCAAATGCTTTGTTGTTATTCAAATTGTTCAAGCCATTAATGCTCAACTCGAGTCCCGAATACAAGTTCAAGTCAAAACTCCTTGCGCCAAGCTCATTTGAATTCAAGTCAAGGTTCTTTTGAGTTCAAACAGGTCCGAGTACAATCAGATATTCGCCCGAAATTTCGGCAGCCTTCCGGCGTCTCCCCCTTTTAGGAGGAAGTTACGAAAAACTGGGCCTTTCCCACCACGCTAAGAAAAGAGTGTATGGTAGGTGCCCTCTTTCGAGGACACCGCAGCCGTATAAAGTCTTAAGAAAAGCGTGTATGGCTCTTCTACCGGTACCTGTTGCAAGAGAAAAGGCAATTGTTTCCCCGCAGGTACAGAGGAAAGCGTGTATGGTAGGTGTCCTCTTTCGAGGACACCGCAGCCGTATAAAGTCTTAAGAAAAGCGTGTATGGCTCTTCTACCGGTACCTGTTGCAAGAGAAAAGGCAATTGTTTCCCCGCAGGTACAGAGCCGCGTACGGGTACTTAAGAGTTGTCCCGGCCACGCTAAGAAAAGCGTGCACTAGGCATTACCTGCCTCATTGTATGCGTCGCACCGAATTCCCTCCTACCACGCTAAGAAAAGTGTGTATATGTGGTTAGTTGGCTCATCGAACACGTCGAGGACAGAACTTTGGGGGCTGAGGGGTCGCTCGCTTACCTCGTCGTAGGTGTCACGCCGGGTTCCCTTTCCACCATGCTTGTAATTACGCTTAATTAATTGTTATTAATTTATAATTAAAAATAATTAAAAATAATAATAATAATAATAATAATAACTCCTCCCCCTTATCTAGTTAGGCCGATTTACAAGATTAGGCCAAAGAGGTGCGTTGAAAGGGGGAGCTACCTTCACTACAAACGAGCTCCTGTTTTGCTTCTGATCAAACAGGATAGGAAAGTCGTCCCAGAAGCGAAGTCGGACAACAACAAAGGGGCGGAAAGTCTCCTTTACAGCGAGCGGAGCTCCCTCCATTGCTCACGATCAAAATGTCGGAACTTCCGATCGACTGGAAGGGACGACGTCGGAGGAGCGAAGTCGTCCAGCCACCAGGGGACCGGGGAAGCACAGGAAAAGGAGAAAATTAGCTTCACAGCGAGTGACCCACGTTGTCGCTTCCGATCAAAATGTCGGAACCTCCGATCCGACGGGAGGGAAAGTTGTGGAAGGAGCAGTCTTCACAGCCGCGAGCTCACGTTGTTGCCTCCGATCAAAGCCGTAACTTCCGATCCTATAAGAAGGGACTTCGTCGGGGGAGAGTGAGAGAGATAGCAAGAGAGAGCAGAGCAAAACGAGGCCGAAGGCCTCTTTCTCACGACCATTTAACGACGCGAGCGCGTCGTGCGACATGGGAGCGGCATGCGACGTGGGAGGAGGTCGTGCGCGACGTGCAACGTGGGATTGGGCAGAGCAGGTTAATGCCTTTTTTATTTGATTTTTTTTGTTTCACCATGGGAGGTCAACAATCTCTGTAGTACTCTAAGAGAAGTAGTTTATTTTTAAAATTTAAGAAAAACTTTATTGAAAATAATGAACTCCAAAGTTTTTTAATCAAGTGTGAAGATATAACC